TGTGTGTGTCTTTGCTTGTCTAGGGTGTGTATGTGGGTTAGTCTGGTTTGGGAGTGTGTGTGTTATTTTGGTTGAGGTATGTGTGTTACTCTGGGTTGTGAGTGTGTGTGTTATTCTGGGTGAGGTGTGTGTGTTTGTCTGGATGGTGAATGTGTGTTCGTCTAGGGTGTGTATGTGTGTTAGTCTGGGTGGTGAGTGTATTTTAGTCTGGGTGGAGAGTGTGTTTGTGTTTATTGTGTATGTGTGTGTTTGTCTATGGTGTATGTGTGTGCTAGTCTGGGTGGAGAGTGTGTGTGTATCTATGGTGTGTTTGTCTATTGTGTACATGTGTGTGTGCTAGGCTGGGTGGTGGGTGGTGTGTGTTCGTCTAGAGTGGGTGTTAGTCTGGGTGGGGAGTGTGTGAGTCTGGGTGGTGAATGTTTGAGTCTGGGTGGGGAGTGTGTGAGTCTGGGTGGTGAGTGTGTGAGTCTGGGTGGGGAGTGTGTGAGTCTGGGTGGTGAGTGTGTGAGTCTGGGTGGGCAGTGTGTGAGTCTGGGTGGTGAGTGTGTGAGTCTGGGTGGTGAGTGTGAGTGTGTGTGAGGCTGGGGGTGAGGTGTGAGTCTGGGTGGGGAGTGTGTGAGTCTGGGTGGTGAGTGTGTGAGTCTGGGTGGTGAGTGTGTGAGTCTGGGTGGGGAGTGTGTGAGTCTGGGTGGGGAGTGTGTGAGTCTGGGTGGGGAGTGTGTGAATCTGGGTGGTGAGTCTGGGTGGTGAGTGTGTGAGTCTGGGTGGGGAGTGTGTGAGTCTGGGTGGGCAGTGTGTGAGTCTGGGTGGTGAGTGTGTGAGTCTGGGTGGGGAGTGTGTGAGTCTGGGTGGGGAGTGTGTGAGTCTGGGTGGGGAGTGTGTGAGTCTGGGTGGTGAGTGTGTGAGCTGGGTGGTGATTGTGTGAGTCTGGGTGTGAGTGTGTGAGTCTGGTAGTGTGTGAGTCTGGGTGGGATGTGTGGTGAGTCTGGGTGGATGAGTGTGTTGAGTCTGGGTGGTGAGTGTGTGAGTCTGGGTGGTGAGTGTGTGAGTCTGGGTGGTGAGTGTGTGAGTCTGGGTGGTGAGTGTGTGAGTCTGGGTGGTGAGTGTGTGAGTCTGGGTGGTGAGTGTGTGAGTCTGGGTGGTGAGTGTGTGAGTCTGGGTGGGTGAGTGTGTGAGTCTGGGTGGGGGAGTGTGGGAGTCGGGTGGGGAGTGTGTGAGTCTGGTGGGGAGTGTGTGAGCTCCATGGGTTGGGAGGTGTGTTGAGTCTGGGTGGGAGGTGTGTGAGTTGGGTGGGAGTGTGTGAGTCTGGGTGGGGAGGTGTGTGAGTCTGGGGTGGGGAGTGTGTGAGTCTGGGTGGGAGTGTGTGAGTCTGGGTGGTGAGTGTGTGAGTCTGGGTGGTGAGTGTGTGAGTCTGGGTGGTGAGTGTGTGAGTCTGGGTGGTGAGTGTGTGAGTCTGGGTGGTGAGTGTGTGAGTCTGGGTGGTGAGGCTGGGTGTGAGGTGTGAGTGTTGATTTGGCAGGGTCATTTCTATGTTGTGGGTCTTTAACCACTGACGTCGCCACCCACTGGATGATGTTGGTACTCACAATGCCCGTCCAGAATGCAGAGCGAAATCTTCCTCCATCACGTGCTACTACCCACGACGTATCACTTCATCACTCGTTCCGAATGCAGCGAGATATTTTAGCCGCAGGCTAAAGGCCCCGAACAAATTGGTTATAAAATAAGGCTGGAGTCGCCTTGGAGTCGGTTGGAGCCTCGGAAAACGATCTTTGCAACTGTATGTTTTATGCACAGACTAAATAAATCCGGCACCTCGTAATGGAGTTAAGTACAACATTTTTAGTGGGGGTTAAGCAAAAAAATGTGGTTAAGTAAAAAATGGGGTTAAGTAAAAAATAGATCTAACTACTTAGCTCTCTTGAGCTATCTTCAGTTTTTTTCACTTTTTTTTCAGTTTCATTTATTAGGAGGAAGTCCGTTCTAAATCAGGCGCGATGATTATACGACGACCGGCAAGGGGTCGTCGATGTTCCGCACCTCCCCCCCCCCCCCCCCCGCCTGGCGCGGGATGCGTTGGGAGCTGCTGCAGTGGCCCCAATGCCCCAGGAGGTTACGCTCCGGGCAAGTCATTTGGCAGGAGTGAAATACGAAACTAGAATTTAAAAAAAATTCTTTTACCTGCCAAGGCCCCACTGAGCTATATAGCTTATTTTTCACAAGCGAACTGGCCACACATGAAGTGGCTTATCACGTGGACATTTATAGCAGCCAAATACTCTGCACGCGGAGACAAATCCACATGACCACGGGGAGAGAGGACACGCACACCCCAAATATACAGGTGTCGGGTTTGGAATCGAACCCACGACCTCCTGCATGCCAGGCGAGGTCTCATGCTCCCTCCGTATTCTTCTAGCTGGACTTGGAGGTGCTCAGAATCTCGCCGCAGTTTTTCTGCAGGGTGGCATCCGCTGGGTGCCATCCACGTTCCACTTTCAGCAGGAGCTGCACCTGCCGACTGTGTGCCCGCCGCCTTTTGCGACGGATAGGCAGAGGGGAGGGGGCTTACATTTACGCGATCTGCGAAAGAAAGCATCATAGCTCTTCGGATCCCTCCATGATAAACTAAAGATTCTGATACTGATGTGGCAAGTCTCCTGAAGGACAACTGACCGGCGCAAGTCTCGCGAGATTTTCGTCGCGTGCGGTGAAGCAGTTTGGGAGAATTGCAGCCGCGTGTGGCCCGCATTTCTGACTGGTTCGGAGCCTGCATCACCCCTTGCTACGAGTTGTGACCCGAAGGCTTGAGGGGGTGGCACCACTCCACCAGGGCAGTGGCGACCTTCCTGGTCCAGGGCCATATGCCGGGCGGCTACGTGGAAGTGGGAGGCCCGTACCTTCACCAGGCATTGCAGGCTGGGTACTCTGGCCTCCTCGAATGCTTCCTTTGGGAGTGCCGCCTTGTTTGATGGCCGTGTCCCCTCCTCCAGATTGCCAGCTGTGGTAGTCGCCGACGTTGTCAATGACGATATCGTCCAGTCGGCGGCGATGTTGAGGGTTGGTTGTGCTTTTGACAGTGCATACATTATCAGAGTTATGTTTTTTGTTTGCATTATGACTGCAGGTATTGTGGTCTATGCAAACATGACTCCTTGTAAAAAAGGTGTCAGTTTTGTTGCCAGATAGAAGGCTAAAACACCAATTATCATAGAATAAAAATGTATACCTGGGGTGAAAAACTTTGATGGTCGACATCGTCGGCCGCTGGACTCCCACCTGTCCATGTGTGTGGCCGACCGGCCGGCCAATCGGTCGGCCAATCGCGCTAGGACTGTTGGAGGGTTGTATTAGTAGGTTTTTACCCTTTAAACTGGTACAAAAACTGACACCTTTATACAAGGCATTACGTTTGCAATAACCGCAACACAAGCAGTCAAAATGCAAAAAAAAAGAAACAACTCTGATGATGATAATGATATGCACTGTCCTTGAAGTTGATTGGTCCACACCCGAGACAGCTTTCCTTAGAGCCTAGTCTCCATTGGTGTTGGACCAGATGACGCCAAAAGGCGTACAACTCAAAAAGTGCACTATCAGAGTATTGAGAGCTCGGGGTAAGCATTTACACTATGAGACCTCCTTTACCAGTGGCAAAATATAGGTGTCATATATGTATAAAGGTGTCAGTTTTGTACCAGTTTAAAGGGTAAAAACCTACTACTATATTTTGCCACTAGTAAAGGAGGTCTCATAGTGTGTTGGAGGGTTCTCATCGGATCTACTTTTGAAGTGCCAATGACCAATTTTCCAGAAGTGCGCTAAGTGTGGTTGAGCCTGGCTCGGCCGCCACGGTGGCGAGATGTTAACTACCTCGCCTGGTATACAGGAAGTCGTCGTGGGTTAAATCCCGACCCTGACTCCTGTATATTTATAGTTTGCCTGTTCGTTCTCCCCGGCGTTGCGTGGATTTTTATCCGGGTCATCCGGGGTTTTCCCTCCAAATTTAGCAACATACGTTTAGATAATGTAGCCGCTCTACATTTCCACACGATAAGCCACTTGGTTGTGCTATTGTTTGTGGTCAGGTGGCTTGTGAAAAAAAGAGCTATATGGTAGCTCAGTGGACCTTTTACCTGGTTTAAAAACAAGTTCAAATAGGGCGCTTCACCGGTCGGGTACCGCTCTGCACAGGTCTCGCGTTGCGTTTCGTTCTCGGGCCTGGCCGATGGCATTTCGTATCCTCATGCTTGTTGTGGAGCGCAAACGACGATCGCCGCGTTACGTTTTCGGGCGTCCAACCTCCCCCTCTCCTTTCCCTTTTTCTGCTCTCAAATCTGTGCCTGCTGTTGGTCGGGGGTGGGCAGAGGTCGCAAACGGGTTTTGATTCCTTACCCGTACCCGTACCCGGCCGCACCAGGGTCGCAAACGGGTACCCGTACCCGGCCGTACCCGTACCCGGCCGGGTACGGGTAGGGTACGGGTATCGGGTACCTGATTGCGACCTCTGGGATGAAGCCATGTTGCAGGCGCGGGTGGGTTCATTCTAGGAACTTGAATTGTGAGAAGAGACAAGACGTTGGGAAATGAGTGACAAACAGTTACTCACCAGTGACTCACGGTCTACCCGTACCCGTACCCGGCCGCACCAGGGTCGCAAACGGGTACCCGTACCCGTACCCGGCTGGGTACGGGTAGCCGGGTATCGGGTAGGGTACGGGTATCGGGTACCCGGTTGCGACCTCTGGGGGTGGGTGTCGGAGTGGATATCTTTGTTGTTGGCTCCCGCAGCCTGCCGTTGTGCATCCTGTACAGGCCCTGCGGGGAGTTTGAAAGTGTTGCTCATTCCAACATCGTCCAGTGGATGGCGACGCCGACCATCAAAATGAATCCGAGCTTAGCATAGGCGCTCTGTGTGTATGAGCGTGGGCGAGTGAGTTGTGGATGGGTGTGTTTGTGGACGGGCTAGTGAGTGTGCGTGCGTGTCTGTGCCAATGCAGGTGCTACTGGTGAGCAGTAGCCGGTACCCGGACAAGTGGATCGTGCCGGGCGGTGGCATGGAGCCCGAAGAGGAGGCGAGCGTGGCAGCCATGCGGGAGGTCTACGAGGAGGCACGCAGAGACATGGGGAGACACGGGGGAGACACGGGGGAAGGCACGGGGGAGACACGGGGGAGACACGGGGGAGGCACGGCGAAGACACGGGGAGACACGGGGCAGACACGGGGGAGACACGGGGGAGACACGGGGGAGGCATGGGGGAGACACGGGGGAGGCACGGGGAAGGCACGGGGGAGACACGGGGGAGGCACGGGGGAGACACGGGGGAGGCACGGGGGAGACACGGGGGAGACACGGGGGAGACACGGGGGAGGCACGGGGGAGGCACGGGGGAGGCACGGGGAGGCACGGGGGAGGCACGGGGGAGGCACGGGGGAGGCACAGGGAAGACAGGGGAAGACACAGACGGGGGAGAAGGCACGGGGTAGGCACGGGGGAGACACGGGGGAGACACGGGGGAGGCACGGGGTAGGCACGGGGGAGACACGGGGTAGACAGGGGAAGGCACGGGGGGGGCACGGGGGAGACACGGGGGAGTGCACGGGGGAGGCACGGGGGAGACACGGGGGAGGCACGGGGGAGACAGGGGAAGACAGGGGAAGACACAGACGGGGGAGAAGGCACGGGGGAGGCACGCGGAGACATGTGGGAGACGTGTGGGAGACATTGTGGAGATACTGGGAGACACGGGGAGAACCTCGCCTCCCCTCACACACAAATGTCCCCCGTATAGCCTAAACAGACTATTGGGGCAAGTGCTGTTAGCGAGCGCCTATGAAGGCCAGAACGGCACACGAGGGGTAGGTGGCCAGCACCACGCTCGGTCGCCTTTGTCTCCTCAGTGCTGATGTTTACACACCGCACCAGGTATTAATTTAAGGTTCAGTCGACCTAGGGGAGGCCCAGGACCGCTTCACATATTTGCTACTTTTATTGGTTGTTGACTGCGCAATAGCTTCATGATCTGGTGGAAGGTGGAGAGTGTTGGGAGCGAAATGGTGGCTAGGATGACGTCTCGACCTTCATAAATCTGCGATGTGGTTTGTGTGGCTTTAATTCCAGGCTGGAGTGAAGGGAGACCTTGGGCGGTTACTGGGAGTGTTTGAGGTGAGTCCTTATTGCAATATCTGTGGGGGGAAAAAGAGCCATCGGATTCCTCCAGTGTAAATGCATGTTCTGGTTCTGAATAATAATGTTTTATTTGTATACAGCGGCAGCGTCAAATAGCCGTAGAAGTGCTCAGTTTGCTCACGGGGTGGCGGGATACCACGGACAACGAGCGGGGGAGGGCAGCCAGAAGTGGCGCCAACAATTTCCCCAACCCCTGTGGTCGTCCTACCCTTGCTCGTCTTGCAGAGGTCGCAACCGGGTACCCGATACCCGTACCCTACCCGATACCCGGCTACCCATACCCGGCCAGGTACGGGTACCCGTTTGCGACCCTGGTGCGGCCGGGTACGGGTAAGGAATCAAAACCCGTTTGCGACCTCTGTCGTCTTGCCACCTCCATTAATGAGTACTTGTACCTGTGCGGGGAAACCGGAGTACCTGGACAAACCCCACAGGCATTCAAGGGGGGACGGGCCGGTGGGGGGGGGGGGGGTAATGCTCAATCTGCGTGCACACGGCAATGAATCCGCTTGCTGTGCTGTCATGAGCCAGGAGGTGGCGACCTCAATGCGCAGAGGGTAGGAGACGTGAACGCACGCACGCACGCGCGCGTGTGCGTGTGTGTGGGTGATCCACCAACCTTCGCTGCCTCCACCGCGCTGGGCTACAGGCCACGTTCGACACGGCCACCGGCGTGCGGGTGACGCGAGGGTACGGCTTGAGAGCCGTCGGTGTTGTCGGTGGTTCTCTCAGCGGGTCAACCGCATCATCGCGTGACGCTTTCGGACGCGTGTCAGCGGCCGTCTGGAACGCCCTTCCTTCCGATATTAGGAAGCCACTGGAGCTATGCACTTTTAAATCTCTATTGAAAACTCATTTATTTGGAACTGCTGTTGTTTAGTTTCTTGTCCATCCCCCGCAACTCCGATTAGCACGGTTGACTACGTACAATGCGAAAGAAGTTCAACATACGTACATACATAGACTCGCACAGAGACCCATAGACTCACACAGAGACCCATAGACTCACACAGAGACCCATACACCTACGCAGAGACCCATAGACTCATACAGAGACGCATAGACTCACACAGAGACCCATAGACTCACACAGAGACCCATAGACTCACACAGAGACGCATAGACTCACACAGAGACGCATAGGCTCACACAGAGACGCATAGACTCACACAGAGACGCATAGACTCACACAGAGACCCACAGACTCGCGCAGAGACGCATAGACTCACACAGAGACCCATAGACTCACACAGAGACCCATAGACTCACACAGAGACCCATAGACTCACACAGAGACGCATAGACTCACACAGAGACCCACAAACTCGCGCAGAGACCCATAGACTCGCGCAGAGACGCATAGACTCGCGCAGAGACGCATAGACTCACACAGAGACCCATAGACTCGCGCAGAGACCCATAGACACACAGAGACGCATAGACTCACACAGAGACCCAAAGTTTGTTGGCTTTCCTCGCACCTCCGGTTAGCATGTTTGGCTACGTACAGTGCGAAAGAAAGTTCAACATACGGTACATACAGCCGTTTTGGAATGGGGGGCTGTCAATCAAGGCCACTGCTCCCCGTGCCACTTGTCTTTTCTGTTTTCTGTATTCGAAAAGTTCACTTTCACGCCGCGCCGCATTCACCCACCGCTCCACATTCACCCATCACACTGCAGGACACAAAGACAAAGATCCCCTGTGTAGCCTTAACAGCCTTTTTGGGAAAGTGCTGTTAGGGAGCACCTATGAAAGCTGGCGCAGCACACAAGCATGCTGTAAGCCCCTCGCCCACTCGCTCACCTGCTCGCTTACCTGCTCACTCACTCGCCCACCCACCCACTCGCCAAACTGCAGGTCACCTCGCTTCTTTTTCCCAAGTTCATACAACACCCTTGCTCAATGCAAGACACACATTAACTCCACCTACAACAGCAGCACTGAGCTCTGTGTTGCTCTTTACTTGACATTCCGCGCCTTCGGTTCTGTGCTCGGCGCAACCGTGATTTAGAAAGTCTCCGTCGGTGCGCGCGTCTCTCGCCAAAACCCAAACCGTAGAACCAGGAGCGCAAGCACCGCACCTACGTGTACATCCTGATCGTCACGGAGATCCTGGAGGACTGGGAGGACTCCGTGAACATCGGTAAGGAAACGCACGCTCCGTCAGCCGCCGCCGCCGCCGCAGCCGCCGGTAAGAACCCTCGCTCGCCGCGCTCTCTCCCACCTCCGGACTTGGACGGGCCACCAACGTGCTCTCGGCTGCCACCTCCACCTGCTCTGCTTGGGCTGCCTTTCTCGGGTGGCCTCGGCCTCCACCTGATCCGCTCGGGGCTCCCTCAAGCCACCTCCCTCGGGCTGCCTCTCTCTTGGGCTGCCTCTCTCTTGGGCTGCCCCTCTCTTGGGCTGCCCCTCTCTTGGGCTGCCCCTCTCTTGGGCTGCCCCTCTCTTGGGCTGCCCCTCTCTCGGCTGCCCCTCTCTTGGGCTGCCTCTCTCTTGGGCTGCCTCTCTCTTGGGCTGCCTCTCTCTTGGGCTGCCTCTCTCTCGGGCTGCCCCTCTCTTGGGTTGCCCCTCTCTTGGGTTGCCCCTCTCTCGGGCTGCCCCTCTCTTGGGTTGCCCCTCTCTTGGGTTGCCCCTCTCTTGGGTTGCCCCTCTCTTGGGCTGCCCCTCTCTTGGGTTGCCCCTCTCTTGGGTTGCCCCTCTCTTGGGCTGCCCCTCTCTTGGGCTGCCCCTCTCTTGGGCTGCCCCTCTCTTGGGCTGCCCCTCTCTTGGGCTGCCCCTCTCTTGGGCTGCCCCTCTCTTGGGCTGCCTCTCTCTTGGGCTGCCCCTCTCTTGGGCTGCCCCTCTCTTGGGCTGCCCCTCTCTTGGGCTGCCGTTCTCTTGGGCTGCCCCTCTCAACCTGCCACTCTCGGCCTGCCCCTCTAGGGCAGGGGTGGCCAACCTGTAACAGACCAACAGCCAAAAAGTACCCACGAGTTCTGCAAAGAGCCGATATTTATATATGTATATGTGAGTGTATATATAGACAGTTTTTGGCACATCACGGGACACATTCATCATTCTTTGCTGCGACTGTGACCGTGTGTTCTACGTCATGCCCCTTTGATAGAGCCGCATGTGGTGGATTAAAAAGCCACACGCGGCTTGGGCGGCGCCCGTTGGCCACCGCTACTCTGGGGTCCTCTCTCTCCATTCGCCACGTTTTGTCTATTTTAGTCGCGTATTTACAAACTGTATGAGCAAACTTAACGCGCTTTCCTTTCACTGAACATTGCGGATGAAAAAAGAAAACGTGTTTTATTTTAAACATTTCACCTGGAAAATTCCTTGAGATTGGAACAACTCGCTTCCAAGGGTGGCCAGGCTGTCAAGTGACACGCAAACACATACAGGCACAGACACGTTGAGGCAACAACAGCGCTTGTGCCAGGCTAGGTGCACTTGAAGCCAGGTGGAGTGTTCAAGGCTCATTGACGTCACGGGATAGACTCAGGTGTTATGGATTAACCGCCTGAGATGACTGACATCTTAGTTTAGGCTGAGTCGACCAAGGGGAGGCCCAGGACCAGTTCAGATAATTCTCAATTGTGTTGGCCATGAGTGGGATTCGAACTCAGGTCGCCGGGATCGTAGTGCAGCGCTCTAACCGCTACACTACCGCTCCCCATACACGAAGGTGCATGCAGACGGACACACAGAGACACATGCGGGGCACACATTCAGACACACATACAGTCACATAGAGACACGTATTATTATCAATCCTGTAAATGAGACACTGAATGTCAGAAACGGGTCCAGAGTTGAACGAATGCTGTTGAAATGCACTCCCAGAAGGCCGTGTGGCCGATGGGATTGTGTAAACAAAACCTACTTGTATTTTTTACATCAAGGCACATGTCGGAAATGCAGGAATCATCTGTTTATTTATGTTACTTACTATAGCAGTGAATCATTAACGGTGAATAAATCAGCTGCGCCATGCACGAGCGCACGCAGTTCTAGATGTTTTACTTGCACCGCGTGGAACCGAGTCGAACTGTCCGCTGATTGGAGCGGTAACGCGGCCCAGAGAAATGGGGGGGGGGGGGTGGAGCCCGTTTGCCCGCTTGTTGAATCAGTTCGTGGTCCGAATTGGAATTTTAAAGCAGCCTCCATATAAAACAATATGGTCTATGGTACACAAGGACAACACTGGTTATTACTGCCGGGTGTATTTACCCATAATTACCGCACGCTGTCCGCTTCGCAGTGGGCCTCAAACATCCCGCGGCGTCATTCTAACCGAGTAGGCCGTCGCGTGCCCGGCGTCGCAGTCCAAGTTTGTCTCATTTAAACAATTAAATCGCAGGCCGCAGATCTTACAGAATGATAATACAGTAAAACCTTGGATTGCGAGTCACTTGGTCTGCGAGTGTTTTGCAAGACGAGCAGAAATTTGTAATAAATATTAATTTGATAAACGAGCGAGGTCTTGCAATACGAGTAGTACGTGTACGCTTTGTCTGCCGAGCGTCACGTGATCACAGCTGATGTACGAGTGCTTTGGATTATAAACACGTTTCCGGAACGAATTATGCTCGCAATCCAAGGTTTTACTGTATTTATTTATACTGCAGGAGGAATCCGATGAGCTGATGAGGTATTTTTCACAGTTGTCCAGTAGGGACGGGTAAGAACGTTGCAACAATAAACAATACAAAAAGCATGACAGTGCAAAGTATAAGAAGGGTAAACGAATCACTACATATACATGCAAATGAAACTAAATCAGCCCCATCCTACCAGGCAAAGCCCACTGAGGTATTAACTTGTGTTTCAGAAGCGAGCTGGCCGCAAATGATAGCTCAACAAAGTGGCCCATCATTTGGACATTTATAGCACCAAAATAATCTAAATAAGCTCCACATTCAATAGCAATCGTCACCCGTTACTGGCAGACTGATGCACGGGAACAGCTGCCACGGTGGGGGGCGGAGGGGGTCTCTGAATATGTGAGCTGGTTTGAGTTGCTGAGCCATTCAAGCCCCATGTGCATGCAAATGAATATGATATTGTTTATTAACAATTGTGAAATGTCATCTCACTCATTCATCTATCCGCCTTTGTGTATTCATTCATTCTAACCCCATGTTCGCTCCCCCTTTCCTTCCCCATGGCCTGCCCTCAACTACTGCCACCTACTACCACCTACTACCAACTACCCATGCCACCTACGACCTACTACCACCACTTAACAACTACTACCGGCAACTACCAACTCCCTGCACCTCCAACTACCACCTACCTTGTGCCACTTACCAATCACCCACCCCCACCACCTACCACCAATCCCTGGTATTCAATCGCTGCGGCCACCTACTCCTGGTCCTTGCCCTATCGGCTTGCCCAATGCCTCCCCTTCCCCCGTACCACCTCCTCCGTCCACTCCACCCACCCCCACCGATCCCGTCCCGACCACAACCCCCCCCCCACCAATCCCTTCCCGACCACAACCCACCCCCCCACCAATCCCATCCCAACCACAACCCCCCCCACCAATCCCATCCCAACCACAACCCACCCCCCACCAATCCCATCCCAACCACAAACCCCCCCCCCACCAATCCCATCCCAACCCCCCCCCCCCCCCCACCAATCCCATCCCAACCACAACCCACCCCCCACCAATCCCATCCCAACCACAACCCACCCCCCCACCAATCCCATCCCAACCACAACCCCCCCCACCAATCCCATCCCAACCACAACCCCCCCCCACCAATCCCATCCCAACCACAACCCACCCCCCCACCAATCCCATCCCGACCACAACCCACCCCCCCACCAATCCCATCCCGACCACAACCCCCCCCCCACCAATCCCTTCCGACCACAACCCACCCCCCCCACCAATCCCATCCCACCACAACCCACCCCCCACCAATCCCATCCCAACCACAACCCCCCCCCCACCAATCCCATCCCAACCCCCCCCCCCCCCCACCAATCCCATCCCAACCACAACCCACCCCCCACCAATCCCATCCCAACCACAACCCACCCCCCACCAATCCCATCCCAACCACAACCCCCCCCACCAATCCCATCCCAACCACAACCCCCCCCCACCAATCCCATCCCAACCACAACCCACCCCCCCACCAATCCCATCCCGACCACAACCCACCCCCCACCAATCCCATCCTGACCACAACCCACCCCCCCACCAATCCCATCCCGACTAAAACCCCCCCCTCCCACCAATCCCATCCCGACCACAACCCACCCCCCCACCAATCCCATTCCGACCAAACCCCCCCCCCCCCACCAATCCCATCCTGACCACAACCCACCCCCCCACCAATCCCATCCCGACCAAAACCCCCCCCCCCCCACCAATCCCATCCTGACCACAACCCACCCCCCCACCAATCCCATCCTGACCACAACCCCCCCCCCCCACCAATCCCATCCCGACCACAACCCACCCCCCCACCAATCCCATCCCGACTACGGCCCCCGCGTGTGCCCTGCGTAGGCCGCAAGCGGGGCTGGTTCTCCGTGGACGCGGCCATCGAGTGTCTGCAGGGTCACAAGCCCGTGCAGGCCTCGTACCTGCAGAAGCACAAGCAGGGCGGTCCCAGCAGGGGAGGACAGCGCCGCCACCGTTAACAACGGCGCCACCCCCACCACCCCGGTCGTCGCCGCAGCAGCAGCAACCGAAGACAAGGCCGCCACCCACCCCATCGCTAGCACGCCCGACGTCAGATGATAGCGGCGATGAGCGCGAGCATCTTTAACAGCGACGGAGATTGAGCGAGGCGGGGGGGAGGAGATAGATGATGGCGAGGGTGACGACGGTGCGGTGTGAATTGTGCAGGCACGCGTTGTCACTTGCGATGTTAATGTTCGTAGTGCGATAACAAAGAAACTAAACGGTGACGCGGAGATGAGATCATTATCAGCAGCTCGGGACAGGAGAAACGTTCAATTGTATTTTATAATGTGATGTACAGAGGCTTGCATGGATGTTGCCAGTATTGAATTTGCACAGGCGTTGTTATTATTTTTATTTGTCATATTTCTTGTCTTTATTTTCATTAATTTGCGTTTCCCGTCGTTTTATTTTTAGAGAGTGGTTTTTAATTTCTATTGTCGAAGTTACTGCTGCTGTTTCACCGCATGACAAAGTTAATTATCCTAAGCCATACTCTTGGGTTTTGTGATTTTATTTAATTTTCTCTCAAATGTCAATTTTACGCATTTATTTTTTTTCTCTGCACAAAGCAACAGAAGTATCTCACTCCATGATCCACTCACTCCAGTTGTGTGGGACTCCATGCCGGGATTTTCAACTTCCCTGAAAAAAAAAGTTAACTTATCAGTATATAGGTGAAATGTTGTTAAGCGCCCGTGTAATATAACACTACTAAAAAAATGTGTTTAAACATTTACGCGCAACACTCGTTATTACGACAACAAAAAAACTAGTTACGAACATTTTATATCGAAGTGTTTAGACTGCAGTTGCTGCTGACGACTAATTGCATCGTCGGATAAAGAGTTGTCAGTCACCGGCGAATAAGCGGAGTTCCTAAGCGCGCCCACTTGAGATGAGGGGCGAGGGTTCAGTGTGGGATGAACCGAGGGTTCTGTAGCAAAGCAATCGGGCATCGGGTGATGGCGAATTCCACGTCGCACGAGAAGAGACGTGCTGATGTAGACGTCATTGGGCAGTGAAGATCGCTGACGCAGCAGCTGGCGGCAGTGGCAGCAGCAGCTACAGCAGCTACAGCAGCAGCAGTAACAGCAGCAGCAGCGGCGGCAGCAGTAGCAGCGGCGGCAGCGGTAGCAGCAGCGGCGGCAGTAGCGGCAGCAGCGGCAGCAGTAGCGGCAGCAGCAGCGGCGGCGGCGGCGGCAGCGGTAGCAGCAGCAGCGACGCTCGGCTCGTGTCAAGTTGTACGCGGGCAGCCTCAAGGTTGACGTCCCTCGTAAATGTGTCACACGTTTTTTAAACGCGCTTTATGTGTTTATTAAAACGTGAAGTTCAACTTAAGAAGTCCGATAGTTTTTACTGAATAACTCTCTTAACCCATATCGATGCCTCCACGTGAAGGAAAAAAATAAGTATTTTTGTTTTCTTTTTACACATCCCGTCATCCACTAAGTGCGTAATTCCAGCAGTGTTCAGCAAAAGGCCGGGAAGATTTCAACATTCGGGCATCTCGGCGGCAGATTAAGTCTTGCTTTGATCCAATGCCGGTGACCTGCCGGATGTTTGTTGGCACGGAGCCTCTCTGCTCGACATGGGTTCTATGTGGACGCAAAGCTTCAGGATGGACGACTCGCCAACAACCCTGGTGCATAAGGCAGCTGTTTAACGTGCGTGCACTTGCTTAACGACACGCGTGTTAAACGCGCGTCCACACCTCGGAGATCGGTTCGCGCAACTTTGGTTGCACGCAACTTAAATCGCCTCCGCAACTGGTTTACTCGGCGGTAAGCTCGTCCCTCGAGCGACGATACTTGCAGCACGTGCTGCAACATTGGAAATCTGGTCGTTACAATCCTGCCTTCGTGATTGGTCATCGCGATCCTGATGCGGGGTGGAGCTAACCGGGAAAGGGGCGGGGCTCCGATGTGAAGGGGCGTGTTTCTGACGTCATGGGGCGAAATGGGCAACCACTTTCTCAGACGTTGGACAAAGCAGTCGCAGGCGGATTGAGTTGCGCGCCGATTTAAGAGCTTGCTGGCCGTGCGATCGATTGCGAGGAATTGCCGATGGGATGGTTGCCTCGCCAACAGAAGAGGCAGGGCTGTGTATCTGTCGCCATGACGCCGGTGACCGTGCGGAGGGTTGGATGTGTGAAGGACGCCGATCGCAGATGGCAGCGTATGGGCAGCGTGAGACCCGGCACGCTTTGCAGCAGGCATTAGGCCACCGGAACAAATGGAAACATTCTTAAATAAAAAAAAGCACTTTTGAAGAAGGTTGTTTCATAGATTTATTCGTGTCAAGGTGGTTGTGAGTGTATGTATGTTAAATTTCAATTTAAAGCTTTCGTGACTGCAGGGATTATCTTCTTGGTTATTTCGGTAAAGTCACGTAGAATGGAAATAATAAAAATAAAGCATTAAATACTATTATAATATTTTATTATGTTTTTTTAAATTATATATTCTTTTATTATGTTATAGTTTTATTATTTTATTATTTCCATTCTACGTGACTAGCGAAAGAACCAAGAAGATGTATGTATGTTGAACTTCTTTCGCGCCGTACGTAGTGATCGGCGGTCGTGTCGTGGGTTAGCGCGCTGCGCTACAAACCTGGCGACACGAGTTCGATTCCCGCTCATGGCCAACATCAGTGACGATTATCTGAACCGGCCCTGGTCGACTCAGCCTCAAATGAGTACCTGGTGCGGTGTGTAAAAACATCGGCGCTGGGGAGACAAACGCGGCCGGGCGTGGTGCTGACCACCCACCCCCTCGTGCGCCGTGCCGACCTTCATAGGTGCTCGTAAACAGCACTTGCCCCAAGAGTCTGTTAAGGCTATACGGGGGATCTTTGTATGTTGAATTTCTTTCGCACCGTACGTAGTAGCCAACCGTGCTACACGGAGGCGCTAATCGAGTGCCTGAGTGATTGGCAGAGTGTACGTTGTAGTGAGGTTCTGGAAGGGCTACGGAGCTGCAATTTGCCGCACACATTGCCGAGTATTTGCGTGTGCCTTGCAATATCTGGGTGTGTTGTGGGTCGTGACAGCCCGGACGCGGTTGATGATCGAGACTGGCGACCGAGTGGCGAACCAGCGGAGGGAATCCGCCAGAGAATTTTGGAGGCCTTCATCCAGCAGTGGCTCGATCATGGCCGATTCGTTCATTCAATTTATTTTTTTAGTAAAAACTCGCTACCCCCTCCCAGCCCCCCACTAAAGAGGGCTAAAGGGACGATCTGCGCAGTGCATATTATTTCTCCCTACCTAAATATGTATGTAGGCTTATACCATAGTCAATTACATTTAATTACAAAGTCATGACTGGGGGAGAGTGGAGGTGGGGGGGTACATTGGCGAGGGTGGATCATGAAGCGCGCCGTGACGGTGGTTTCTCTCATCCTGGGCACGAAATATTTCCACATTTACGACGCCGAATTTGTGGGCGCTTTTCGTAAAAAAGAAACATTTGAAAATAAATATAAATCTTAACTCATTATTTAGCGTCCCGATCTGAGATGATTTTTTTGTGGCCCGAGAAACGAAACCCTGGAATAAATCATCGCTCGCGAGAGAGACGCAAAGCGGAGAAGAATAACGATTCAAGCCAGCGGCGGTAGACACGTGCTTGGACGCATATTCTTAGATTTTTTCGGTAAAGTCACGTAGGTAAAAAATTAAAATTAATAAAAGTAAAATATAAAAAATAAAAATCATGACGTTTCGGAGGCAACACAAGCTTCCGTCTTCAGGTGGAACCGTCACAGCACGATTGCTGTATCACCGTCACAGCACGATAGCTGTATCACTTGATACAGCTATCGTGCTGTGACGGTTCCACCTGAAGACGGAAGCTTGTGTTGCCTCCGAAACGTCGTGATTTTTATTTTTTTATTTTATTTTACTTTTATTAATTTAAATTTTTACCTACGTGACTTTACCGGAAAAAAACCTAAGAATGTTAATCCTTGCAGTCACGAAAGCTTCAAATCTAGAACGTGCTTGGACGGCCGTGTTATGAATGTGGCGAGCGGTGGCGCAGCGGTTAGCGCTCCGCTGCACATGAAACCCGGCGACCCGAGTTCGATTCCCGCTCACGGCCACCAACACCACCGGTGACGGTTGTTTGAACCGGTCCCTGGGCCTCCCCTAGGTCGACTCGGCCTCAAATGAGTACTTGGTGCGGTGCGTAAAAACATCGCCACCGGGGGAGTGCGTGCTTGCGCGTAAAAAAAAAATTCATCGTCGCTGGGGAGACAAAGGCGGCCGGGCGTGGTGCTGGCCAGCCACCCACTCGTGTGCCGTGCCGGCCTTCATAGGTGCTGCTTCGCTTAACAGCACTTGCCCCAAGCAGTCTGTTAAGGCTATACAGGGGAGGGGGGGGGTGGATCTTTTGTCTTTGTTATGATTGCTCCGCGTAATCGCGTCGCCGGTGCTGGAACCTGGGAGCTCCCTATCTGCCCTCTAAGCCGGGCATTTAATTAGCGCGTTAATTAATGAGGGATAATCGGGGCCTCTCTGGGCAAAGGGGGTCTCTGTGGGCCCCCCTCTCCACCAACACCTGCACCATCTCTGACAGAAGAAATCCGTGGGGACGTCCTCGAGAAATCCGTGGAAGTTCCCACCCTTGTGGCGAGTAAAACAAAACAAAAAAGCAATTTCATTTTGTTATATTTGACACAGCGACCCTCATGAATGTTTTTGTTTGTGTTAATGTTAATCTACTAAAGTGTTTTGCATAGAAGTAGAACGCATATCTTACACAGAGGGCCGTTGCGTATAACACATCTGGCTCATCATCAGCATTGGCTCAAGCAAGCCCGACTGCTGATGAAACAACAAATGTCGAAACTGGTGCAGAGTATTTTTATGCGTGGGATGAAACCCGATGCTGTTGAAAAGTGTGCACTTTCAAGAAAGCCGTGTCGGTGATGGGGATGTGTAAATGAACTTGTATTACACTTGATTTGAAGCTTTCGTGACTGCAGGAATTACTCTTTGGTTCTTTCGGTAAAGTCACGTGGGCAGAAAATAAATTAAGTAATAAAATCCGACGTTTCGATTGCAACGCAAGCAATCGCCATCAGGTAGAAAACCAACCTGGTGAACATTTACACAATTGAACCTCATTTGCCAGTAAAACATATGATAATTGGTTTTTTACCCTTCTATCTGGCAACAAAACTGACACCTTTTTTACAAGGAGTCATGTTTGCATAGACAACAATACCTGCAGTCATAATGCAAACAAAAAACATAACTCTGATAATGTATGCACTGTCCTTGAGATTGATTGATCCACACCCGAGACAGCTTTTCTTAGAGCCTAGTCTCACATGGTGTTGGACCAAATGACGCCAAAAGGCGCACAACTCAAAGGCAATGCACCATCAGAGTATGAGAGCTCGGGGTAAGAATTTACACCATTGGAACCTCATTTGCCAGTAGCAAATAATGATAATTGTTTTTTTTTACCCTTTTATCTGGCAACAAAACTGACACCTTTTTTTACAAGGAGTCATGTTTGCATAGACCACAATACCTGCAGTCATAATGCAAACAAAAAACATAACTCTTATAATATATGCACTGTCCTTGAAATTGATTGGTCCACACCCGAGACAGCTTTTCTTAGAGCCTAGTCTCACATGGTGTTGGACCAGATGACGCCAAAAGGCGCACAACTCAAAGAAAATGCACCATCAGAGTATGAGAGCTCGGGGTAAGATTTTACACCATTGGAACCTCATTTGCCAGTAGCAAAATATGATAATTGACGTGTTTCCGACCACGGCTGTTCACGAATGAAGTCGTTTACGGTTATCATTAAGGAAGCCAATATAGAGCTGTACACTTGTACATCTAGATTGAAAACTCATTTGCTTAGAAGTGGTTCTTGTGTTTAGTTTCTTGTCCTTCCCCCCGCGCACCTCCGATTAGCGCGGTTGGGTACGTACGGTGCGAAAGAAGTTCAACACACGTTCCGCTTCGGATGGTCTCGTAACGATACAGAAGTAAATACCGGTGAAGTGAGTCGCTGTTAAACAACTGAAGTCTTTATTAATCAACAACAACAACAACAACCACTTTGTTCAGTGACTACATGGGCTCTGCTTACGAACGCGTTACGTTCCAGATGTCTGTTCGTAAGTCCAATTTTACTCCCGTCGATTTCAAACGCGTTGTACGGCGTGCACACGAAACACGGGGAATTGCTTTAAAATAGTAATGGGTTTTTACCCTTTCAACTGGTACAAAAACTGACACCTTTATACAAGGGATCATGTTTGCAAAAACCACAACACAAGCAGTCAAAATACAAACAAAAAGAA